GCCCGTGGAAAACCACATATGGAAAGGGTGCTAACATCTTCCCTTTCCATAATCTACCCCCCTTACTCATAAAATCTCGATAAATGTCATTTTCTGTTCTTTTCAACCTTTCCTTTGTTGGATAAAAGAAAAGTCAGTGGCGACTCTTGCTTACCGCACATTTGCAAATACAAAATGCAAACCAGTATTAAACAGTCGGTTATGCCACTGTATCACAATAACACATTTGATGTTATATCATATTTGATTATACTAACATGCAAATTGTCAAGAAGTTCTTTAAGCTTATGCTGGGAGAGTTTGAAATGAGTCTCATAGGGAAGTTAAATTACTTTCTCAGACTTCAAATAATGCAACTGAAGAAAGAAACATTTGTATGTCAAACCCAATATTGTTTTGAATTACTAAAACGGTTCGGCCTGGAAGATACAAAGGAAATTGACATTCATATGGCAACACATGGTAATTTGGATAGATATGAAAAAGGTAAGGATGTAGATGTCAATAAATATAGAGGTATGATTGGATCACTTCTATCCCTTACAACATATAGGCCCAAAATAATTTTTAGTGTTTGCATGTGTGCCTGTTATCAATCGGCTCTCAAGGAATCTCAATTAAAAGCGGTTAAGTGTATTCTTAGATACCTCATTGGTACTTCTAAGTTGAGGCTTTGGTATTCCAAGGGAACCAATTGTAGCTTGCTTGGTTACTTTGATTCTGACTTTTCCGGTTGCAAATAGGAAAATTACTAGTGGCACTTGTCACATGTTTTCAAAATCCTTGGTTAGTTGACATAGTAAAAATAAAGTTTATGTAACTTTGTCAATGGATGAGGCGAAATACATGGCAGCCGGTAGTTGTTGTGCCCAAATCTAGTGGCTTAAGAAATAATTACTTGATTTTGACTTATACTTTTGCGTATTCCTATCATGTGCGATAACACTAGTGCAATTAACTTAACCAAGAATATGGTGCTACACTCTCGCACTAAACATATTAATATACATCACCATTTCCTTCGCGATCACTTTGAAAAAGGAGATGTTGTGTTCGAGCATGTTGATAGTAAAAATCAACTTGCTGACATTTTCACTAAACCTCTTGCAATCGAACCATTTCAACATACGTGGGGAATTAGGGATTATTTATATCTCTAATGTTGCTTAATATTTATTATGTTGCTTGAACTTTATACTTTTTCTCTAACATTTTGTTCTAGTATTTTATATCATATGAGTGAAACTTCCATTCCATCAAGAGTGAGGTAATGTTGTTTCAAATTTCTCCTTGAAAGTAAGACTTTTCTTAGTGCATGTTTTAGTTGGTTAAAAATGATTGCAATGTTCTCAAATGATGAAACCCATGAATGTTTATTTCCAAAAATTTCAATTGACAACCATTGTGTGTTTTCAATTTATATGCTTATAATGACTTCTTATGTTAATTACTTCTCATTTATATAAGTTTGTTCTGGACTGCACAAGCATGCTTTGGTATTATTATTTCATGCATTCACGCATGAGTTGAATGTATGCATGTTATTTGCATATATGTTTCTTGTTGTAGTTGGGTCACATATTATGTCAACATTTTCATTTTGGATTGAGTGGTGAAATTTTTGTCGCCAAGCTAAGCACATGTGTGCGCAGCATCGAGAGTCCATTGTTTTGTGTTACGTAATCGTGATGCTAAAGAATCAAATCGAAATTTTTCCTCTTGCATCAGATTCATTATTATTCATGCATTCCATTACATGTTTGGTAATGTTTTATGTTGGTTATTTATCAATTTCGCATTATTGCATATATATGGGGATATGTGATTGTATGCTCTTCTTTGAAAAAATGCCTCTGTGTGATATATTGGTATTTGCACTGAATTATGATACTTCTCATAATTTTCTTTGTCTCTTTTTAATGTTGTCAAAGGGAGAGAAGCATATGCGAAATGAAGTTGGAATGCACACTGTCATACCCCAAATTTGTCCTACCCTTATTTATACTTATGTTTCCTTTAAATAATTCGTATTATTTAATTTTTATATTTTTACGGGGAGGTTAAAACATAAAATAGGAGTGTGTTGATTTAAAATGGGACATCAACATCTGACAGCCCATTTGGATCTCTAATAAGAGTTCATTTTTAATGAGAGGGGGTGCATTCTTTTAGAAGGTGAACATACTCTTTTCTTTCCTAAGCCCATTTAGACTTTGGACAGAAAGAAACAGTCTGCTTTTTTTTATTTAACGACCTATTTCCTTGTTGAGAAAAAAAATGTTTTACTGATTTGTTAAAAATGTTTGGCCCAAAACATGTGGCCCAATTACACAAACAAGAAGAGACGCATAACCCAAAACACTAAAGCCCATTCTCAATTCCTGGTTTTATATTGAAAAGAACTTCGTTTATTTATTTTTCACTATTAAATGATTGTTTAAAACATTATATTATATTTTCTTTATAAAATGTTTTCTTTAATTTTATTTTACAAAGGTGGGCTATAAAAAAAGAGATCTTTTAGATAGGCCCACTTAGATTTCTGGCCGCTGTTTCAATCAAACAAGAGCGCAGAGATCCCATTAGAATTTTTTTATTTTGTTTAGAAAGTTTTTTTTCCAGTTTTGTTTATAGTTTTTTATTAAAAAGTATTTTTTTACAAGGCCCAAACCAGCGGATTTTTGGTTGTTGTCTCAAAACAAGTGTGGCCCAATTAAGTCCATAAACATGCACTGTAGAGATTCATCTGCGCGCATGTAGTAAAAGAATTTGTTGTTCCAATTCATTTTAACATTCAAATGCAGAAGTAGTAGCCTTAAATTGCAGAAAACAATTCCTAAACAAATCTGGAAACAATAGTAATTGTAGAAAGCATATCAAGCCAAATTTGGAAACAAATTCAAATTGCAGAATACAAAATCAATACAACTTTCAATTCCTACGGACACATTTCAAATTAAATTCCTAAATAGAAGAACCTAATTAACTAATTTGATAAAACCTAAATTGCTATAAATCGAAGCATTTGCAGAAGACTAAGGGGCACGAGAAAAGAGAGAGGAAGATATACAGTAAAGAAAAATACAAATCATTATTTACAGTAAATCATTGCTTCTCCCGATCCCCGTCGATCACTTCTCCCGCCGTCCAATTTCATGAAGCTCCGCCTTTTCTCCATGAACCACACGAGCCAACACTTTATTGTGCCTGTAAGCCCAGATCTTCCATAAGCTTAACGTTCGCCTTCAAACCTGAAACAACCGGCTGAAAATCATCAAACAATGAAGTCGCCATCGAACGTCTTTTTTACCACATGTAGGGAAAGGTAAATATCGAGAAAACCTGAGAAGAGTGAAATCAAGGTCGAACGACCAAGAGATAAGGGTAAGGGAGTCTGTTACGTGAGGGGAAGGTATTAGCACCCCACACGCCCATAGTACTCTATGGTATCCACTCTTGTTATCTATCTTATGGGTGTGTTCAATCTATGCTTATTATTTACTATACTGTTGAAGGGAGAATGCATGTAAAAGAAATGAGAAACGGATGCAGGGAAAATAAAAGTTGTGCTCGTTCAGGCCCTACCCCAATGCCTACGTATCCCTTTTAAGGAATCAGAGCAACCGTAGTTTGGCTCATATGTTTTTGTTGGTTTGTATTTTTTTAATGAACAATATTAATTTCGCCTTCTGCCGCAACTCGACCTTTGGAGACTTACGCGTCAGCATAAAAGTGAATTAACACGCTCTTTTAAAAAAAGTTTTAGAGAGAAGGTGCTTAGGTGCACAAAAAAAGTTTGAATTGGTTTGTGTTTTAAATGAACGGTATTAATTTTGCCTTCTTCCGCAACTCGACCTATGGAGATTTACGCGTCAGCACAGAAGTGAATTAGCATGTTCTTTTGAAAAAAGTTTGAAAGAAAGGCCCATAGGCAAAAGAGTTTGTGCTTGTTGGTGTTTTTTTTTGCTTGTAGATAACAGCTAGTTGACCTCAAGAGAGAGATATTATCCATTTTTCTACTTATTCATGAAATGAGTCTTTGAGACTTGAACCATACCAAGGCTTAGAATGGAAAAACGATAAGATCGAGAAGAGACCTGCTTATCATCTCCCATGTTCAACAAAGGCACGATTGTCGTCAGTAATTTTTAAGTATTTTTGAAGTTTGAAAGAAAAATAAGTTTTAGTTTTTAGTGCATATGCAAAAATGGGATAGAAAAGTCAAAGGGGAGACTAGCCTATTTCTATCCCTAATATTATCATATTTCACACAATCTCTAGGAAGTGATAAATGTGGAGAGGAAGTAGAAAGAAAATATACCAAACAAATACTAGCCCGTAGAGCAAAGTAAAAAGCAAAGAAACCTGACGATCTTCGCGAAAGCTTCACCATTAAAAGAAAAGAGTTAGAAATCAAATGCTCGGAATAAGTATCGACGCATCATCGATTGTGAAAATGAATCACAGTCAAAGTCTCAAGCGCATCCGCATAATAAACCTGCATAAGGCTCAAATCTCAACAAGCCAAGGTGAATTACAAATCTCAAATATAATCGGATAATAGGAATTTAATTCCTAAAACTAAAATATGAAAAATTTACAAATTTTTATCGATTTTATCATTTTTATCATGTAAAGAAAATTCAAACAAGTCTAAACAATTAACAAAATTAGCTAAAAGAAATTACTAAAATAGTAAACAATAAGACATAGTCCAGGGGTGCAAATAACAATTCAGGCGCTAGGCCCATTGATCAGAGTCCAACAGAATATTTTTTATTGCAACCCAAACTCTCTAAAAAAAGAGTAGTACATGGGCTTAGCAAAATATGGTTCGGTCCAGGCTGCAACATTATACCATTCATTTTCATTTCCCCTTTTTTACAGTCTATTAAAAGCAGTTGGTAATAAAATAAAATAATAAAAAAAAAAAAAACTTAAAATGAAACCAAAAATTGAAAGTGAGGGATTAGGGTTAAGGTTTGTGCCCCTTGGACTTTATGAGAACTCATGGTTCTATCTTTCTTCACTCTCTAACACAACGTCGTTCAACATCACCTTCTTCCACCGTCTTCTTCAACTCCTTCGATTCCGCGATGTTGTTCCTCATCTCCATAGCTCCGCCTCCTGCCATCTCTGATTCACCAAACTCTCTTCTCCGTTCGCAATTCCTCAACCTTCTTACTTTAAATTTTATTCGATCTGCCACCATGGCCACATCGTTCATCACTCTACCTAGTCTCTCGATTTCGTCCGTCTCCCTCTCCTTGGTCAGCGACATCGTCACCCCTCCGATTTCGTTTCGGATTCAACATCTTTTCACTTCAAACAAAAGGACACGCACAACAGAAGGCGATGAGAAAAATACAAATTCAAGAATATTACCTGCCGGAGAAAGTCCGACGCGTGTTCAAAGTGAAGAATCAGGTAAGCGATTTCATTATTTTATTAGACTTTCTATTCATCTTCTACTCCATTTATGCGCTGCTTCTACTGGTGCGCATTAGTGATGTTCTGAGTTATGTTGTTACTGTTACATGTTGTGGAGTTGTTGTGAGAGTTAAAACAGAGGATGCGTACGCGTGTGTTGATGCTGATGTTGGGGTTGCGAGATGAAGTTTCTGAATGGAGTATGAAGTTTTAACCTATTGTAGAGTCGATTCAGAGAGTGATGCAATGAATGTTGAAAGAGAAGTGATGAAGTAACTAAAGCTTGAGGTAATTACGATTTAGGAAGATTTGATTGAAACGTGAAGAAGATCGTTGAATATTGAAGAAGTTGCAGTGGGATTGCTGATAGGGAAGAAAAGTGAGGTTGCTGGTGAAGAAAGGTTGCAGGTGGATGAAGGTGATGAAGGTGAATGAAGGTTCATAGAAATTTCTGAGATTTCAGAGAGAATGCTTTTTTTTGGGTGAGTTTCTGATAGTTCTCTTTCTATTTTATATCCTTTCCAGTCTATTAGATTGCAGTTAGTTTAGAAGTTGGTTAGAGGTTGTTAGAGTTTTGAACTGAAATTTGTTAGTCCTATGTTTGCTAAAAGTCAGTTACAGAGTTAGAAAAAAGTTAGTTAGTTGCTTGAAGAATTCTGTTGTATTTCTGTTAGGGATTTTTCTTTCAGTTTTTTTTCTTCCCTTTGAACTGCTATATGAATGGGCTGTTAACCGTGTTTTGGAATTTAGAGATTATGTTATTTTCAGTTAAAATAGTTAGGAAGTTGGTTAAAAGTTGTTAGCTTCTGTTTAAGTTTGTTAAATGTTGTAAGTGCTCTTCCAAATAATTGTGCATTTAAATTGCACAATCAATTCTCTTATGTAATATATGCTCTTTTTCTTCAATTTTCAAAAGTTTCTGCTGTGCATCACCTAATCGAGAACGTTGGTCATTAATGATTTTCTTCAACTGAGGTGCATGATGCTTGAGTTCCAGGTGCACCTTATGAGCATATTCCACATAAGTTTCGTGAAATAGCTTGAAATACTGATGCAATATTGATTGGCCTTCAATTGAATCAGCTGCAACTGAGCGTAAACTTTGAGAGGCCCAAGGAACAAGTACCTCCTTGGGCCCACTAAGAAGTTATTTGCTAATTATTGGTTGAATATCTCTCTCATTTGATTGCCCCACTGATTGAATGTGCTTCGTCTCCATATCAATGCTTAATTGAGGCAAAAGGTTCCAAGTTTTCATCTCAAGCACAACACATTCTCGAGAAAGAGTAATAGCCACACTCCAGGCATATCCAAATGAATCTGTCGATGACATAAAACCACAAAGTGAAGGCTCTGAAGCACATCCACTCTGGCATGTATTAAGAACAGGATGTACATAAGGAGTCCTCATTGTATCATCCTTTCCATTTGCCTGACTTGTAAATTTGAAACAGGATTTATCACGACAACGGTTTTAGCATAGTGTAGATGGCATCTTCGTAATTCTTCTTTTCTGAACTGGTTTTGTTCGCAAGTTGCTAAACTATTTTTCTGATTGAATTTATGGACTGTTTATGTTTTGTAAAGTGCAGGGTTGGAAAACTTGGAGCTGGGACATGAAATCTATCGCAGCAGAAATTTTGTGCATGGTTGAATCAAAGTTTGAGAAATAATTTTGGAGGTTGTAAAAATGGCATCATGAAGTCATAACATGGAAAATAATGGAGCTAAAGTTTAGGCAGGATAGATTTAGTTTAGCTTTGTGTAATTTACAATTTTTTTGTAATTTCTTTGGAATGTAATATGAATTTGTAAATTCAAAATGAATCGCTTAGAAACATTTACATGATGCCTAGAAACAATGGTTCAACGAGCATGAATTTTCGAGTGGACATTGAACGATGAATATTGAGATGTTGAATTTGAATGACGTAAATGAAAGTTTGGAATGTATTTGGATTGATTTTGAACGGTATTTGAATGATACTGAAAGTGACAACTTGAACCAAAATAATCACTTGAATGGAATTATAATGAATGACTATGCCTTGCCATTTGTATCTCATCTTTTTCATTCCAAGAATCCCTTATGATTAAGGTCTCCAAACTCGCTTGAATCAAATTCTTGAAAATAAACCAATGCTTAGATTTCTTTAGTACCGTTTAATTATCCTTTAAACACTTCACTTCATGACTCAGTGAACGAATTCCAACCAACTTGCATATTCAATGAACTAGTCCTGAACTCAAGATATGACATAACATTCAATCGAATCAATAATATTCATGCATGAACTCAATCCAGAAAACAAACTCTCCATATTGAAATTACCCAAAATGAAAGCCTTTATTCATGTTCTTCTAACTCAATTAGCACTTTCCCGCATCATATCTTATATTTGTGCTTCAACATTTATAATTCAAGTCACAAACATGTCTACTTGAAAATGTGAGGCTAAAATCCTTAAGAAATTCCCTTGAAGATGATAATTCTTGACGCACAATATAAGGCTCTCTGAGAAAGTCCCTTGATAAAACAAACCCTAACCTCATGATCTTCGACGAAAAAACTGATTAGACCACAATCACCGAAAACCTGGCTATAACCGCATATAGGAAAATAGGCCATGACAGCCTTTCTTGATGAAGAAAGAAATGCTCAACGACCCAGGTCACAACCCTAATTCCACCCCTCACTGCCTGAATAAGAAATCAACCTTTATCGGACACGAACGCCTTAACCATTACGAAACCCTAATTTCGCACAACCACTGAACTTTGAACCTTAAGCGTTTTATTGAATGCAGTGCATGTTATTTTAGTGACCTAATGGAATATATACAGATGAATGCAAAGTCTAAGCCAGAATAAGAGAAATTTAGGAGGACAAATTTTGGGGTGCAACAAAACCGTCGATCGATTCATCCCCGCAACAACCTATGAATAGAGGGAGAAGAAGGATGCTCGATACGATTCGCGAGGTAACCGTTTTTGCTTTAGCTTATTGTTGGATTGTGATTACTGTGTTTCGCTGGGGGAATAAGGGTTGATTTTTGATTCGGGGCCGTTGCTCTTAATCGGCGTCGTTGGTTGAAGTCCATAGGGATGGGTTTTCTCTATTTTGATTTAGGGTTGAGGTGGTTGAAACGAGAGAGTAGAGGGCGTGAGAGAGAGAAGTTGACGAGAAAAGTGAAGGATAAACAAGTGAAAAAAACAAAAGCTTATTTTTTGTCGAAATCAAATGTATCAGGCCTAAAAAACGACCTGACACATCCCTCATTTTTTTGTGTTTTATTATTATTATAGGAATATTAGGCCTTAGATTCCCCCATACCCGTTTCTATCAGACCCCCCTTTTCACTAGCCACACTATCAGAATACCCCCCCCATCTAACAGGCCAAGTCCAGAATACAGATTTGGGCCTGGCTGCTCACACCCCCCTTATCTGTTAATCTAATGCAACGCGCACCACCTAGCCTTCTGGGCCTGAATTCAAAATCTGAATTCAGGCCCTTCCTAAAAACCCCCCCTAATTTTACTTCAAAAAAATAATTCGCACCCCCCATTAAATTATTTTCTTTTCTTTTCAATTTCATTTTTTTATTATTTATTTATTTTATTTTTCTATATATATATATATATATATATATATATATATATATATTGATAATTATGATATTATTTATTATTATAATTAATTTAGTATTTTAAAATTCATTAAAAATACAATATTTATTTACATTAAATCACATCTTTAAATTACATACCTAAAAATACTTCTCATCACATAATTTAATATTTTATATCAGAATATTAAAACACGCACGATTCACCAAAACACTACGCTTGCGAGCGACGCGTGGCCAATATCTGGCCACGTGATGAGGAGGCTATATCACACTCCTCCGCTATACGTCTAAAAATATTCAAATGATCACCAAACTATTTTTCTCAATAAATTAATTCAACATTAATTTTCCAAAAGGAATGCGAATATATTTAAGTTAACTTCGTACTTGGTCTAAAAAAACTCCGCTTATTCATACTCTTAGACCACATACGCGAGAAATTCAAAATATATTTCACAGCCCATAAAAAACACAAACCACCCGCGAACTACGAAATGAGACTCTGATTCCTCATAAGAGGATACATAGGTATACGATTAAAATCGTGGCGAGTCCCGCTAAATAAAATTCAAACACTTTATCCCGTTAAATAAAATTCAAACCCTTTTTTCCAATAATAATTAAAAACCCTATTTCCTAAGATCGCGCTTCTAAACCTAGTATCCTTTTGAACAAGGTAGATGAGGGGTGCCTAACACCTTCCCTTCGTCTAGACCCGAGTCCAAACCTAGAATCTCTGAAATTTAGGGTTATTCCTTTGTACTCCCTTCCTTTAGGATAAAAATTAAGGGTGTCGACTCTATTTAAAAACCAGTTGCAACAGCTGGCGACTTCACTGGGGACTCAACCCTAGGTTTAGAAGCCTTGCCCTTTTTAGTGTTAGGGTTTTTAAGGGTTTCTTATTTTTGGCTTTTTTGATATTTGTTTAATTAGTGTTTATTTATTTATTTTACTTATTTATTTTCTTTCCATTTTTACTATTCATTATATTTATATATCTATGGTGGTACTTTAATTTTCGCAAAAATATTTTCAAAAACCCTTAGAAAGAAGGTTCATCTATTAGCCAAAGGGATACATCATCCCTATGAGTTTATGTGACGACTTCATCTAGAGTCGGTGGAATTCTGCAAAAGAAATATGTCTCAAGAGACATCCACTTGGGAAGTAGGACTTTGGAATGATTACTATGGCTCTTTGTACAAACCTCAAACTAAAATCTCTTGATGAGACCTTTCATGACCTAGAGACGAAAGTTTCGGTCTACAAAGAGACTCCACTCAAGGGAAACCCTTGTGCCTTTCCCTTTAGAGCTATTTATGATACCCTTAAGGAAACCACCTTATGGGGAGGATAGAATATCCATAATACCAAGCTAAGAGCCTACATTCTAAAGGTTATTGTTCACTAAATCCCGTCATTTAACATTTTATTCATATATTCACGCATCTCTACATTTCACATGTTCATCATACATTGTTTGCTTTTGTTTGTCTTATTCACAGGGTACAAAGAAATATAAAAAAAAGAGTAAAGGTTTTTTGTGAGTATGTGGA